ACGCGGGTAATGAAGGGCAGATCATTACCCGCAAGGATAACATCATCAACATAAATCAAAGCTGTGACGAAAGTGTCGTTACGCTGATAAATGAACAAGAACGCATCAGCCGCAGAAGATCGAAACCCAAACTCACAGAGAGCGGATGTAAACTTCTCGTACCAGTTTCGCGATGCCTGACGAAGACCATAAATCGATTTATGGAGACGACAAACTCGTGTATCGCCAGGTTTCCAAAACCCTTCAGGAATCTCCATGTACACTTCCTCCTCAAGGTCGCCATGCAGAAAGGCATTATTAACATCCAGTTGATGAAGATGCCAGCCCCGACTGACGGCGACAGCAATGAGACAACGAACAGTAACCAGTTTAGCGACTGGTGCAAATGTATCATGGAAATCGAGTCCCTCAACTTGACTATAGCCCTTGGCTACCAAACGGACTTTGTACCGTTTGATAGTCCCATCAGGGAAGAACTTGATCTTGTAGACCCACTTCGAAGCTATCGCACGCTTGCCTGGAGGTAGGAAAACAAGACTCCACGTACCATTCTTTTCAAGAGCTTCAACTTCGCGTGTCATCGCCTCTCGCCAGCAAGCCTCCCAGACCGCTTGGTAAAAGTAGCGAGGTTCATCATAGCGAGTCTGGGCTGCAAGAAAAGAGCAATAAGTACCTTTAAAATGTGAATAGTCAACATAAGCAGCCAATGGATAATAAGTATGATGAGAGGTGCTTCCCTGAACATTATGGGGAGCAAATTGAGTGACGTAGTTCTGCTCCAAATGTTTCGGTCGAAACCGCTCCCGATTGCTCCGTCTCGGTGGAGCCTGTGCAAGTTGCTGGGCTGAACTAGGTTGCTGGGCCGCGGTGGGCTGCGAAGTGGAAGCCAGGTCGGCTGGCCCGGACGAAGACGAAGGGGAACTAGCCAGCCCAGGAGAGGCGTCCGGCCCAGGAGAGGCAGCCGGCCCAGGAAGCGGATGCGGGTCCTGTAAGTCGGCTGTGGGCGTCGCGAGCTGTTCTGGGGACAAGTCACCAACGTTGTGGAGAGGAGAAGCCGCATCTGTGTCATCATGCAGCGGAACAGTGGGTCGCGGAATCCAGTGAAGCTCATGTCGAGCATTGTCCTGCATAGGGAACAAACCTTCGTGGAATTGAACATCACGGGAGATGATTAACCGCCTTGAGACGAGATCGAAAATAAGATAACCCTTTTGTGAGGCAGCATATCCCAGAAAAACTCCTGCACGACCGCGTTCAGCAAACTTATCGAGGTGAGCGTGGGTGTCTTTATAGTAAGCTAAACAACCAAACACGCGAAGATGTTGATAAGGAGCCAGTTTCCCAAAGAGCATCTCGTGCGGACTCTTGCCTGTAGCCTTGGTTGGGAGCCTGTTAATAAGATAAACAGCTATGAGAATACATTCTCCCCAGAATTTAATGGGTAAGCTAGCCCGAAACCTCAACGCACGAGCCGTCTCGAGGATGTGACGATGTTTCCTCTCCATGACACCATTCTGCTGAGGCGTGTCCGTGCAAGATGTCTGGAGCAGAACACCTTCTCGTGCATAATAGGTTCACAACTCATCGGTGTTGAATTCATGCCCATTATTTGCCTGAATTCGCTTAACAGAACAACCAAACTGTGTTCGAATCATATTGTAGAATTGCATCAAAGATTTGCCAACATCAGACTTGTACCGTAAGAGATAGACCCAGACACCACGCACGCGTATAATCATCAACAATCGTTAAGAAATAGTGTGCACCACTAATTGAAGCGACCTTATATCCTCCCCAAATATCAACATGGATGAGATCAAACATAGACTTTGTTTTTATCTCACTAGAAACAAACGGTTCTCATGTCTGTTTGGCTCTCAAACAAGAATGACACGGTCCAATATTACTGAAAGATATACCCAACGATGAACGTAGGAAAGAAATCTTATCAAACGATGGATGCCCCAGCCGAGCATGCCATGTAGCTTCCGATACTGCAATTCGTCGCGTCACTGCACAAGCCTGCGTCACGCCAGCTCCAAATAACCGCAGGTAGTACAGTCCATCGCGTAACTCACCCTTCCCATTCAACTTCTTGGAATGTAAGTCCTGAATGACGCAGAAATTTTCAAGAAAAATCAAAGCCACAAGGTTATCCTTGGTCAGTCGGCTCACAGAGATAAGATTACATCGAAACTCAGGTACATGAAGTACCCTCCCAAGGGTTAGACCCTCCTGTAATTTTACCGAACCCACATGCTTAACTGGTATACTGTCTCCATTAGGAATGCGAACTGGCTGCCCACTAGTGTGCAATTCTTTGCTAGATAACATAGACTCGTCCATGGTGATATGTTCATTGCATCCTGAATCTAATAACCATTCAGAATCATAAGAGACCATACCTGCCATGTGAGCTGCCGGGTCATCCGCTGGCTGAGCTGAATGCCCAAAAAATTTCTTTAACTGATCCAACTGAGCCATAGTGAACCCAGGAACCGGACTCGCCTCCACGTCCACTTGAGAAGCCTTAGGCTCGCGGTGTGAGCTCTCTCCGCCTGCGCGATTACGGTGCTGCTTGGCGTGCTCACCTTGGCGATCTCTCGCACGATATCCAGGTGGATATCCTATCAATTCATAACAAGTCTCCTTCAAGTGACCTTGGCGATTGCAGTGGGCACACCTCTGCCGCTCGCGCTGCTCCCCCGTACCGCGCGAGTCACCATTCCCACGAGGAGGACGATCGGTTTCACCTTTCGCGGCAAAGACAGCAGCTTCCGGTGGCGTCTTCCGATTCTGAGTTATGTTTTTCTGCTGTTCTTCATTCATTACTATGTGAAAAGCTTCGGCGAGAGTGGGAGTGGGCTTCATCGCCAGAATCTGGGTGCGAACAGCACTAAACGCGTCATCAAGCCCCATGAGAAAGTCGAATAAACGAGCACTCTCCTGTTGGGCACGAGCTTTGCGTGAGACATCACAGATACACAGGCCGCAAGTGCAGGCCGGCGGTGGAGTGATAGCCGCCGCTTCCTCCCAGAACGAACGCAAGCTGGTGTAGAAAGCTGATACTGTGTGTTTTTCCTGCTGAAGTAGACTGATGAGGCGCCTGAGTTCGTAGGCGCGGGAAGCACTCCCTTGACCAAACCGCTCGCGTAGATCCATCCATATCTCCGACGCGTGCTCTGCAAAACGGATGCTACCTCGAATCTCCTTGTCCATCGACGTCTTTAACCAACCTTTGACCATCGCATCACAGCGCACCCACGCTGCCTGTGCCCTAGGTTCGGTTGGCTTCAATATGGTTCCATCAACAAACCCATATTTGTCTTTCGCAATGAGGGGATCCTTCATATCAAGGGACCACTCCCCGTAATTAGATGTTGTAAGAATCTCACCAACAAGCATGTTTCCCGGACTGTCGGAATCGTGCAACTGAGGAACCGATGGAAGAACATCATCGGCGGAGCTGGTAGAGACCCCTTTATTTGTGCCGTCGTCGCTGCCAGTAGTCATGGCTGCCGACCAACGATAAGACTCTGGAGCTTAGTGCTCTGATACCATGTAAAATTTGCAGAAAATAAATGAACACTTTGTTTAACGTGGTTCTTCCTCACGGTTTGTGAGGCTTACATTGACTCCAGTTCTACCACTTAGCCTCAATCTCGTGTATCTCTCGTCACTTGACTTTTTAGCTTCTTATCAATCCAAAAATAATTTGGCAGTCAAACTCAAGCTTCAGTTGGGATGAAACTACGACAGACCTGCCCTTGATCGTATAAGAACTTGTGTTTGACCCACTCTTATAGGATCAAGTTATAAATTTGACATGTCCTGTTACTATTTCCTCCTTGATCCTGTGTGACCCACTTGAGCCGCCGAGCCAATGGGTTGGCTCAAATTCATCCAAAAAATTTGTATTCCAATTTAGTCCTAAACATTTTTTACAAACAAGTTCAAAAATTTTGTTGGTAAAATTATGTTTGAGAATTTTTTACATTTTTTCCTTGCATTATAGTACCTGGATTTTTAAAACTTTACAAACAGGTTCAATATATTGGTATGAGTAATTTAAAATTACTAAGAGCTGTTATGCATCAAAAAAAGTGTCCCGATCGTAACTTGAGTCGACCCTACTCGGCCATTATAAGGCTAAAAGTCAAACTGACCCTATGCTGACCCTGTAAACAACCTGACCCAACCAGACCCTCAGAATCAAAACAGGATTAGACGGGTATGTGGGTATCTAGAGCCAGGCTTACTGCCCTAAACTAAACTGTTGAATATGTATGTGAGCACTTATGAACGTCTTTAAGACAGTTTAAGACTTCAGACACTTGATAAATCGAGACTTGGGAACTTGATAGACCACAGTAACGTTATATGTCAAAAATACAGAATTTTGGGGACCTTTCTGCCAAAAATAAACCATTGGGGGTTGTTTGGTAGTTGTGATTGTTAGAGTTGTGTTTATTGAATACATGCATTGTGCACAATACAATGTTTTTGGAAGTGTTAATGTGTAAAATAATGCATGTATTGTTTTAGATAAGTGAAAAAGAGATGCATTTTGCAAAAAAAAAAAGACTTTTTGTGACCTCCAATCCGATAGCTTTAGAGTGAATCGACATACAAATGTGTCTTTTTTCTCATCGGATCAGGATCAAAATAGGTCAATGACAACCATGGTCTCCTATGTATACATTTTCCAATGGACAAACCAAACCGAAACCATGGCATTGAAAATGGAGACATGGAATGGAATACCGAAACGTAATTTGAGGGACTTGAATCGCCATTTGAGAGGTCAATAGCCCAGGTGTCAGATAGACACTCAACAGGAAGAAGACGAAGAAGAATTATTTTGCGCGGTGGGTAAGAGAACCGGAGAACCATCAATCTAATCAACAGGAAACCGGGGAGCGAGAGTCGATCGGAGCTTGGCTATGGTGTTCGCGAGAGAAGAACCAAACAGGTATTTGCGGCTGGATAGATAATTGGCTATGGCGGCGTCTACTACTAATGTTGTCCGGAATCCGAAAACTCTGTTCCTCATCTGGTCACTCTGCATCATCTTCTTCTTCTCTCTTCTCCAAATGGCTATCAAGAATTCTGCTACTGCTTCCACTTCTTCAGGTAACCGTAGTACTGTTGCTCTCTTCTTTCTCGCTTCTTAAATTTGATATATTGCCTTGATTGATCATGTAATCGTGCTCTGCTATGATCGCTTATCACACCCAAAGCTGACATTTGCATTCCCAAATCGGCAATTTCCGTGGCTGTTGATTTCCATTACTGATTTTGACTTGAATCATCTTAGGGGGTCCATTTATGGTGTATTTTGGCAGTGTAAATTCAATTACTAGGTTTTTGTTGCAGGTAGGGTTATTGGGTTCTTCTACCTTAGAAAGTTAATTACTTTCCATCTTTTCTTTTACTTTTTTTTTACTACCATCAATTGCATACATGAAGAAATAGCAATCAGCCCGGCTATCGTGCTCAATTGGATACTGATTCAGCTGTGGATTCTTTTCCCGCATTTGAGGTGTTACAGAACAAATCTTGGGAACTGAAAGGCTAGGTGATTAGAGTTTACGTACCTACAAAGATGGATATTGACTTGAGGGGCACTATTTTCAGATTCTCATATTGCATATAAGGAGCAAAGGTCAAGGCTGTATGATAAAATGGCAAGGGATCTGGATGAGAAAGGAGCAGCCTTTCTTAAACATGGAGAAACGTCTCAGTCATTATCCCTCTCGGATATTTTTACCCTGAAAGAAGATGGATCAGTTACACCTGTACTTAAGGTAACCATTGCTGAGGTCATGCCAGTTTGTCCTCGTTCCATTTTGCAATGTCATTGATGGTTTCCCTTCTGTTGGCAGGCAGCCGACCCTCCAGTTAGAGCTAATGTGTTGTATCTAAGTCCAGAGCATTCATTGCCCATCTCGTAAGCATATAGAATAGCTTACTGTACTTCTTCCTCTTGCTTCATTGTTTTCTTCCAGGCTTGCCTGTTTCAATCATTTCCACTAAACATTGCACATACCTTGAGTGATACAATTCAGTAAAAGTATCGCCTTTTCTATATTGTATACAGTTTCCAGATGCATCAGCCCTTCTGATGACATTACAGTAAGGCATTTGCGAGTTAGCTACTTTAAGTTCTTGACTTTGCTGAAGGGTTCCAATTTATGTAAGCAAGTGAAAGTATCTTTTGATTTTCAGACTGTTGAGGCTTCACATCTTCCACTGTGTAGAAAGTACCAACTGTATGGATGTGTTCTATGGAAATGCCTGGACCTAACTTCCTTTCCTGTACTGTTGATTTCATATAACCTTACGTGCAAGAGCAATGTCGAGTGGCTTGTTTCTTGGGTGAATGATTCAATTCACAATCCATGTGTGAATATTGGTGAGCTTAAATGGTTGAATTGACTGGATTTGCTTATCCGAATTTTGTCAGAACTGAAAAGCATAGAAGTTGGCTCATCCACATATATACTTGAAATTTGAAAATTATACTAGATGAAAAGCTCATCTGATTATTCCAGGTTGTTATATCAGTACCTCATTGAACAATCGCTTTGTAGCCTTCCATTTTTTTTCATTACTTCATATGCTTTAAATATTGTTAGTTAGTAATGGCAGTTATTCGTGACCTGCCACAGGGATGCTGTAAAACATGTATTTGCTCCATATTTTAATAAAGGTGAGTGATACTTGCGCCTACCTCATTACTCCCTTGCTGTTTAACGTTATTAGTCTGATACTCTGATTCATGTGCTGTTAAATATCCCCAGAACATGTGTACTATTGTACCTCTGATTTCTTCTCTGTCACTTTTTACTTGTGCTGTCAATCTCCCATGTTTTCTGGGTAGCGATTTGGTTTCAGAACTCTACGGTGTACCATTTTAGCATGGTTCATGCTTCTCATCACATTACACCAGTTCCTGCCACTGAATCCCAGGTAAAAAGTACCATTCAACTTCTTCCTTCTTTACTGTTTTCCTTTTACCTCAGAATCATTTAACATGAGTGCTGGTATCTGGTGTTAGATTGAAGCTGAAGCAGCTGCTGTTAAAACTGCTGCCGAGAGCTTTTGCCCTTTGAAAATTGTCTTGGATAGAGTGGTTTTGACTTCCACCGGTGTGCTTCTGGGATGCTGGCAGGTTATCACAATCTCATCCATTTGACCCTTAGTCCTTGGTCGTTGCTTCTAGCTTAGTTTTCACTTTTCAGCAGTTAGATCTGTTTTAGTCGCTTTCTCGTTTTCCCTCTGAGCATTCCATCTTTTTCCCAATATAAGATGCACCATGATTTATCTAAATTTAGATGCAAAAGCAAGTTTACTGCAAAAGTTTATTAAAGTAGCTTGTTTCACATCTTGTTCAGTATATACTCAATCTGGTACCGCGGCCATTCCTCATTCCACCTTTTTCAGGTAAGTGATGGAACAGATCCTGTAACTATCCGTGCTAAATTGAGGAGCGTGCTTCCACATGCCCCGGAACAGCAACTTGTAAGTTAATCAGGATGATTGTTGAAATTGCTACATGCAATGTAAAGCTTGACTAATACAGAGTTGTATGCTGCACTGCAGTATGACACTGCTATTCTTCATACGTCATTTGCAAGACTCCTTGGCAACCCTACTATTCCAAACGAGGTAAGCACACAATTTAGTTGTTAGATAAGTATCTAACTTGTATACATGTTCTGGTGATTTTCACGTAGCTTGCAGTGCTTCTTTGACAAGACGCCCTTTTTCCAGAACATAGAGAAGATTCCAGATGATGCAATGCAGCTTTTCCACGAGCTAGTTGCGAAACTGAACAACAAACTCCACGGGTCCCAGGTAATGTAGCTTATACATCTTCCCAAGAGCTCACTTGTTATCATGCAATGCCAGCAAGCACCACCTGGAACTTAAGCCTGTGACACATGCAGGCAGTGGTGTCGGAGCTGTGGTATGTGGAAGAATATGATGTATTGGCTCTTGCACTGGATGGAAGGATGAAGGTAAGGAGGTTCCAGCTTGGCTGCAAGTCAACTTGAAAGTAGCATAACTTCAGATGGCTTTGTTTCATCGATGGATCATGGGTATTTGAATGTAAAGAGCCAAATTTTCGAGGTTTTTGTTGATGAGTTTAGTAGAACTGCGAAGTAACCAGGCGGTAAAGGAATGGTCATGTATCTGTGGTAGGCTTGGGCAAGGATATGAGGTTTAAGAACGTAGCATGCACTCCACCTGCTAGCCACAAAGGCAATATCGAACCAATTCCCGGAAAAAAGGAAGTGTCCGATAATCCATTATTTGATACGTTCTCCCACAACCTTAGGCTCCACTGGATTTTCGTGATAGTGGACTGATGGGTAGTTAGATTGTGTACTTGGTCCATGCCATGACGCAACATTTGGTTAAATGCCTTGCTATGCTACTAATGCTAGTTGTTGTACAAACGTTGGTTTTGACTCGGTACAGAATGAGGAACTTGAGTAAGAAATTAGTTAAAGTTAGACATATTTTGGTTAATAACATAAGGTGGAAGTTGTTTATGTTTGGTCTGGCTTTTAGAAGTGCTTTTCGGCTTCAAAAGTAGAAGTATGACCAAACACCTTTAAAAGCAGAAGCTCTACTTTAGAAAAGCTTAAAAGGGTTTTGTATAACATAAAAGCAGAAGCTCCGATGTGGAGCTTCTGCAAAAAGATGTTTTGAAATTACAAGATTATCCTTATCATATATTAATTTTATTTCAGACAATATGATTTTCTTTTATTTATATCATTTAGAAATAAATTTAATTATAAAATCATATTATTTAATATAAAAGAAATATAACAAGATCCATTTTGACTACTTTTTATTGTTTAGAATTTTTATTTATAGTTTATATATTACGTCCTTTATAATCATTTTACACAACCTATCATATTAAAGAAACACTTCTAATAGTTTTTCAGCCACACACTCAACTGCTTTTTTAAGTACTTTTCTAAAAGCTCCTGCCAGAAATTGCTTCTGCTAAAGCTACAGCAGGACCAAACTAGCTCATTACTTAAGACAACGCCTCAATCTAATCAATGATCGACCAGTTTTGGTTACTCTTGAGTGCCTTGGATTGGATATGAAAATTTGGTCATGGATGCTATGGATCAAAAAATAAAATGAGTCTACTAAATTATTATTTTTATAAGAGTGATATAAGTTTATTTTTTATTATTTAAGTACTAATTAGGACTAATACCACTGGAAACACCAACCTTTAGCGAAAGTGTCATTTATATCACGTAACTTTCGATATGACAATTGTATACCACCCGTTAAGTTTTCTGTTAGTATTTAACAGAAAATATAGTTAGCAATAACATGGCAGCTGATGTGGAAAATATTAATAAATTAATTGTAAAATATATAAAAAATGGAAAAGAAAAAAGAAAAAAGGGGGAAAAGTCCCATCTCCCTCTTGTAATTAAATGGACGGAGACAAGATAAGATTCTGGCCATTCTTCCACCCACCGCCGCTGCATAGATCAAGCAGATTGTGGCATGCTCCGCCGAGCGTGATAGCAATAGTGGAGGCGGAGAAACGAGTTCGTCTTCATCTTCGAGTTTGCAGGCATCCGAATCTTCAATGAAATCGTTCTTTTTGCGGAGTTAGATTTACGCTAAGCTCAAGCAGCAGGTGGTGGTTGCCACACATGCAGAGGAATCAAACTCAGAGTCGATTGGAGGGCGGATTCATCCATGGAGTAGAGGAATCGAATTTGGAGTCGGTGGGTTTCAACATTTGCGAAGGCGCCGAGTTCGACCATTGCCCGATTGAGCCATCCCGCCAGCCTTGTCGTTGCCATCGATCCATCATCGCCGAAAGAGAAGCTCAACACGGCGGAGAAGGCTGGATTTGGGAGATTGAAGAATAAGAAATTGAAAGGCAGGGTCGCCGCCTAGAGCTCCATGGTGTCCAATTGGGGAAGAGAGCCAGATATGTGAGGCGGAGGTCAGAGGGGAGATACCCGGCGTCAAGCGATGTTAGCGTGGTTGAGGTCGATGCTGGCGACAACGCGAGTTTTGGGATTGGCTTCGGATTCGATGACGAGCAGCAGTTATGGCGATGGATGGGGTCGCGGAGGAGGGCAAGGAGAAAAATATTTAAAAAAATTAATTAAATTTGTTATTTTCAGAAATTAAATTTAAATTTTTAAAATATTAAATTTCCTACGTGACAAATATGTGGACACCACCTATGCGCCACATAAGCAATAGTCAAAGGTAAGTTGACCGAGGTAAGTTCACCGTCGTTAGGTCAACGGTTAACTCTAACGGTCAATAAAAATTTGTGTAACATAAATGACGCAGATACCTAATAGGTTGGAATATTTTTGTGTTTATTGAAGTTACGTAATATAAATGACACTTTCACTAACAGCCTGTTTGGATACAATTCTATAAGAAATGGAAACAAAATTTCATTTCCAATTCTAACTTTTATGGAATTCCATTTCCAATTTTTGTGTTTGGTATAATTCCCACATTTAAATAAATGAATTGTACTTTTAACAATTAATTAATACTTTAGTATATTTTTTTTACCTTGAGAAATGATATATATATGGTGGCATCTTCGGTGCACTCACTTTTTTTGGTGCATTCAGTGCACTCGCTTCATAATCGTCATTTTAAACATGAGATTTATGTCAAAATGATGCCAATCATCATTTATGATGTGATGAACAATAACACACATGAATTTGCACAAAAACCATGAAAGATTTGCTTTAATTTGAAGGATTTAGAGTTTAAAGATCTAGGGTTAGGGTTAGGGTTTACAGTTTGGGGTTTAGGGATAGAACTCAAAATTGGAGGTCTAGGGCTTCGGGTATTCCGCTAATTAGTTGTTATCATATGTTATATCATCATATTATACTAATTCTACAAATTAAAATTCAAAATCTGACTCCTTAAGACTAGTTTTTGAGTTGGGTGCATTGAACACACTCATTTTTGTGAGTGCGCCGAAGTAGTCACCATATATATATAATATATATATTTTTATAATCACTTGGGGATTTTATTAAAATGGCTTAACAAGTAGCAGCTGAATGACTTATATCAGCATCATAGTCCAAAAGGCCACATAAATCCGCCGGAGGATAATGGGCCCAAACAATTGTGCTATTACAAGGAATAGTAAGATGGGCTAAATAGTGTGCAGGTCCGTTGTTTGTACGTAGGGAAAAAGACCAGGCAACTTGTCCTTCAATCCCATCGGTAATTATCTCCAACCATTCTTTTTTCTGTAGAATCGGTTCACAAATAATCCCCGTCTATGTTCTATCAACCTCTTCCTTCTTCAGTTTCTCAATCAAAACTTGACAATCGCTCTCAATTATCATGGGAGTAAAGCCTCTATCCATTGCTTCGTTGATACCCAGAAGAATTGCCCTAACCTCGGCCTCCTCCGGGCTACAGCTTCCTCTTTCATTCCTGGCGAACCAAAACAAAAAAATTTCATTCCAATGCCGAATAAGACCACCCATTCCAGTTATATCATTCCCCAATCTCCTAGCATCCGTATTCACTTTATAGATCCCTGGCGGGGGACGTCTCCACGAAGGAGAATTTGGAGATCTCGCACGCACCTTTCCTTTATCCGAGTCTTGGTTTTTCAGATAATCAGGAGCCCAACAGGTAGCTCTCTCGACAATTTCATCTTCCTCCATCTTAGGGTTGTTAAACGGATGCTTGTTACGCTCCCTCCATAAGAACCAAAGAATAGCACTGAATCTTTGCAATTTCTCTTCAAGAAACTCTTCGAACACTCTGCATAGCCATTCTGGGCAGCGGAGTTCCACTCCTCTTTCAAAACAGTCCTTCTCCGAGATTTTCCTCCAGATTCTGCTTATCCAGCTACAATCGCGCAACGCGTGTTTCGATTTTTCTAAAAGATTGCAGAAAGGACATGCAAGGCCTGCTTTCATCGATTTTTTCTCAAGTCTTCTTCCGACAGGTAAAGCATTCTGACTAATTCTCCAAAGAAAGTGCATAACCTTAGGCCGAATCTTGAATTTCCATAGCCCTGTCCAGAACTTCCTTAACTGTGGGGATGCATTATAAAGCCTGATACTTCTAGGAAGGAGATTTTCTCTCTAGAACTTATAGCCTGTTTTAACAGTATATTCGCCATTAGGAGTCAATGTCCAAATATGTTGGTCTTCTTTGAGTGGCTGTTTGAGAGGGATTTTGGTAATAAGATTTTGATCATCCTCTGAGAAGAGTGTTCTGACATAGTCCATATTCCACGAGCATGTCTCATTTCTCATTCCGAATCAGGTCCCTACAGAATGAGAAATGAGATATAAGTGAGAGAGAAAGAGAGGAGTATCATAGTGGAGTGATAAAATAACAATAAATGTGTATGGGTCCCACTAATTCCATCTCCATAAAGTCAATTCCTATCACTTTTGATAGGAATTCTAATTTCCATAATTTGGATAAAGTGGAATTCATTTCCCAACATTCTTCCCTTTCCAAACATAGAATAATTAAATAGAATTGGAAATGGAATTCTAATTCCTGAGTTTTTTATCCATCCAAATAGGCTGTAAAAGTTGGTATTTCCAGTGGTATTAGCCCTACTAATTAAAGAGATTTGAACATGAAACCTCCAAATTAAAGATAGACTCTTAGGAGTGTGTTTATGACTTAAGATTGAATCTTTGATGCATGATCCTTTAGTTTGAAATTTTGGCTCACTTTTAATTTTATGCTTCGATACGCTTTTAGAGCCAAGAGATCAAGCTTTGGTTATTGTCTAATGAGTTGATTCTAGCCTTCGACCAAGGTCTAGAAACCTCTGGAAAGACATGTTGCCTTTGTTTTCGCGTATATAGACCTCGACCCTTGATTTGGGCCTCATTGTACACTTTTTATTAGGGCTGTTAGCGGTGCGGTTTTGGTTTTAACCGAACCGCAAAGTCGGTTAGCCGACGCCGAGAAGGAGGTGAAATCCCCAACCGTCACCGACACTGACTGCACTATCGGTTAGCCAAAAACCGCAGCCGACGGTTTCGGTGGGATGGGCGGTTAGCCGAGAAGGCCTGGAAATTGGGGAGTCGGAGCGACGTGCAAGGTGAGGATGTGGACGACGACGATTTGTGTGATTGGACTGATTCGCGGCAGAGTGGGGATGTGGACGGCGGCGCTCCGGTGGTGGTGTCTGGTGTGGGCGCTCCTTGCCATGCTCATGCATGTCACTGGAAGTCAAAGAGGTAGAGGAAGAAGGCCATGGCAGATTTCGATGTGAAGGACTAAGGCAAGCCTGCGATTCCGATTAGAGACGGCAAGGTAGACGGGGCGGCGCCGACGACTACGAGATGGATTTATTGGCGTCGTCTATGAGGGTTTCGCAAGCAATTTTGTCGTCTCGCAAGTGCCACCATCAGAGCAAAGATGTTGGCTTTGAGTTAGAGGAAGATTTGAGGCCTGTATCGGAAGGAAGGAGCTGGGCGGAGAGGTAGAGGAATGTGGGGATCGGGAGGATGAAGGAGTTGGGGGCAGCGAGAGGTCAAAGGGATGGCTGGTCGGTTAGATTGGTTAGCAACCGATAATCATCGGTTAGCACCGATAACCGCCGGTTAGTGAATAACTCCAAATGGGCCAACCGACATCGAGATCTTATTTTTGGTTTTCGGTTAACCAATAAACCGATCTTTCGGTTGGGTTTTTTGGTTGGCCGACTAACCGATCACCGATTATCACCCCTACTTTTTATCCACGTTTATCTTTGACGTTTGTTGGAATTGAGCTCCAAAAGGGTTGGTTTTACGCTAGGTTTCTTGGGTTTTAGTGTGTTTCAGATCCTAACAGGTGACACCAAGTCGGGAGTCGAAAGTTGGAAGAAAAGGAGGAAAGACTAGGCAAAGAGGAGGAGACAGCCTGTGTTCACGGTCTGCCATTAGAGTTCACGGTCTCCAGGACCGTGAACTGAAACCACAATCCGTGAACCAAGGAGCGTCTAGAGAGGGTTTTGAGGTTACTGACACCAAGGCTGTTCACGGTCGCTAAGACCGTGAACTGAAACCACAAACCATGAACCCATGAAGTGAAGCGGTGCGTTTTGGTTCAACACGCTGTGTTCGCGGATGCATTTAGATGTTCACGACCGTGAACTGGCTCGATCTCAGTATAAAGAGCCAACTGAAAGGAATAATAAAGGGAGAGAGACCTAGTGTGAGAAACTGCTTCTTCAGATTTTAGAGTGAGAAAGTGACAAACCAAAGAGGAGGAGAAGCTAGGATTTCATCTCCAAGCAAGGATTTGGGAATTCCTCCCCCAAAGGAGGATCTCTTCAACACAAGGAGCAAGGCCAACATCTTCTTGATGGTTTCCCTTTTCCTCTCTTGTGCTTTCCCTTCTCTTAGCATGCAGTAGTCCCTTCTTTCACTTGGGTGTTTGAAAACCCTAGCTAGAATTACATGAATGCTTGTATAAATTGGATGGTTTGTGTGTGGTTGTGTTTAATGTGAATGTGGAGGTATTATTCATGAATGATTGTGTTGTGTGAAAGCCTATCAATCTAATTTCTATTCTCACCTAGGTAGAGAGAACCCCCCCCCCCCCCCCCCCCCCTTCCTTTCTTTAAAAGAGGCTTGAATGCTAGGTTTTCTTGGGTGATTTGTTGCCTCCTAGTTAGGTTAATGCAGGGAAAACCTCCTATTTTGTATTAGCCCTTAGGGTTTGGTTGTGGGTGGCCGTCCGAACTCCAATTCGAGGGTGAAGTCTAACCATTCGTTAGTCAATAGGTTGAGAGGGTCGCATTAGTGACTTGGATTGTATCCCATTTCCTCGACCTAGAGAGTAAGAGGGTAGCTTTGGCTACTTGTTTTACAACCATTCCTTAGTCAATAGGTTGAGAGGATCGCATTAGTGGCTTGGATCGTATCTCATTTCCTCGACCTAGTGACTGAGAGGGTAGATTTGTCTACTTGTTAGACTTACCTGCGGTTTATAACCCCCTAACCACACACAGTCATTTGATCCCTCAAGTCGTAATTGTTAGCTAGGGAGAGTAACACCCAGGTGAAGTCTTCTCAATTAGTGTCAAATCCATTTTACCTTTGCAAAGTAATTTAGCTTTAGACCTTTGTTTTCACCGAAACTAATTCGGAAGATAATGTTTCAAACAATCGAAGTAGCGGTACAT